CATAGCTGAGGGGAGAAGAAATGGATTTATACCTTTCCCATGGGGTATTTGTGTGAAAGTGAACGCAACATATTCGGCAGGAATTTGAACTCGGTATTCCAGTCTCACGCTGATAACCATTAAGCTATTCAGTGAGAATCGACCTAGCTACAGTGAGGAATTAGTTTGCAATATTATCTTGTTAAGCGTCGCTCTAGAGTAATTAATTTAAAAGGCATTTGCTAAGATTAGCAATTGCAATTGTGGTATGTTATTAATGCCAGGAAATAGCAGATGGTTTAAAAATGATTTATTGTCAATAGTGACCATTTCTTATCAGAGAAATTGATCTGTAATAACACCAATATGTGCTGGACTCGCCCCAAATGATAAAAAAAACCCTGAACTTGATACTCTGTATCGCGTTAGAACATAAGAGGGAGTTTATCAACGGGTAGACCTGAAAGGTAAATTCCTAGCCGCCCGGTGCTAATTCGCGCCTCACAGTATTTCAGTGGCAGCTCCCGCATTGTAAACAAGTGGTTAACCCAGCTGCAATCAAAATGTGCACACGAGCGCTGTTCGTCTCGAGGGCCTAAAAAAATCTAGGGACTGACATGCAATGTGGCACCTCGTCTACAGTCACTTTCTTCTCACATATAGGTGAACAATTTAACTAGAAGAATTGAAAATAAATACACTGTATCTAAATACAAATTAGAGACATGTCAACTCCAGCCCAGCAAAACTCCATTTTCGATTTGATCTGACTCTTGTAAGCAGGGCCGATGTAAGGCTCTCGTGTTACCCACAGAATCTTTGACACCCCTCTGAATATATGATACCTCTCCCCGAATCTATAATACGGGGGCCCTAGTCTACAATATCTCAATTTTCAATTATGGTAATATTCATATAAAATACAAATTTTATTGTAACCTAATTATGTACAGTAATGGATCATATGCCATTTAGGTGAACAATTCAACTAGAAAAAATTTAAATAAATAAAATGTATCTAAAGAAAATTAGAGACTTGTCATAATACAGGGTGCGATGAATAAATTGTCGTCTAAATTGTCATTAGGTAGTATTCACATAAAATACAAATTTTATTGTAAGCTAATTATGTACAATAATGGATCATATGCAATATAGGTGAACAATTTAACTAGAAGAATTGAAAATAAATACACTGTATCTAAATACAAATTAGAGACATGTCATAATAGATGATTCCATCTTAAATAAATCAACAATGTTTTACGGTAAATCATTGATTTTATTGATAGGGAATTTGGTTCCTTCCCTGTGTTGTTCTAGACATTTTTTTCTCGACAGAATGTATCTTACACATTTATAAGTGTACCATTCGTCCTTGCTTGGAATATTATGCAACCAAAGTTTGACTTTCTAACTTGAAATGAATTTAAGCGTGCTACTAGGTTGGCATCTCGGTCCCACCCTATCACTGTCGAAACGGTTAAATGGAGCCGTCTCGTCTACGCCAATAGCTTCTCATCTCACACGTCCCGTCTGTGAACCCCCTTTCTTACCTGCTACCCCGATAGCTATAATCTTCAAAAATGTAAATGTAATGTCCATCGACATCTTCTGGTGACTTGATCTTGATACCTGTTTTTCTCTTTATCCTTTCCTCAATGAAAGACATGTTTATCTAACCATTTAATCGGGGCGAGGGGGATTATAAAAAAGAAACTGAGCAGAAGTGTTTTTATTTACAATCTTCAAAATTCCCTTCCCAATATACACCTTTCGCTTCGTGTCAGTAGAAAAAGGGCAATAAGAGACTCTTCTGGAGGTTCGTCTCGAAAAAACACTATATAAAAGTCATTATTTTTTTCTTATCCATAATGTTGACTCTGTTAAAATTATTCAAATCTTTAACAAGAACAATCTCAAGTTGATGTTAAAAGTCATCTTCAGAACCAAAACATTATATTAAGAGACATTGCACCTTCTGATTTCTTTATTTAGGCGCTCATGAAATACCTTATTTATCTTGAAAACCATCGCATATTACAGAGGTTACGATAGCTCAAATCACTGCAAAATCTGAGGAAATTGATATCGAACTCCTGAAGCGTGTGTCACTCAGCGACAATTGTACATTGATCCCGAGGGAAAACACTTTGAAGATTGCAAATAAAAACAATTTAATTTTCTTTATTATAACCCTTCTCGCCCTGAATAAATGGTTAGATAAATGTTGTGGATTCCGGGTTGAAATCCGGTACCAATAAATAACAAACGCCAGGAATGAATATATGAAAATGATGTATTAACGTAATAATACAAACTGGTAAAGCAGGTTAGTAGTTCCAGGAATACGTGTTAGTAGCAAAATATAAATACATTCTTTGATATTGAAGTATCACTGTATGACTTCTTACTGGGTCTACGTGCTCGCTGACTGTGACTCCTAAACGCTGTTACCTCACCCTCACTCTTCCGGTAACCTATAACCTTTTACTCTGTCACTCTGGACACGACTCGCCTCCTCGGTCTTGCTCGGTATTTATCGATCCACCCACGAGGGTTGAATATGGCACAAGGCCGGTTTAATGTGGGTATTTCCGAGCCCGTAGGCTCAGCCAAAAATATAGCCTTTGAACCCGCCCAGACGGGTTCAGGCCCTATCTACCTCCCCGGACGAAACCTTGCCTTTCGGCAAAGCTTCATCGGGTTCCTCTGCTAACGCAGAGAGTTCGAAAACGTCGCTTACAGTCAAAGACTGTATCACGACAGCTAGACTCGGAGGTCTTGCTCGCTATTTATCGATCCACCCACGAGGATTGAATATGGCACAAGGCCGGTTTAATGTGGGTATCTCCGAGACCGTATGCTCGGCCAAAAATATAGCCTTTGAACCCGCCTAGACGGATTCAGGCCCTGTTCTACCTCCCCGGACGAAACCTTGCTCTTTGGCAAGGCCTTCGTCCGGGTTCCTCTCTGCTAACGCAGAGAGTTCGACAGACGTCGTTTACAGCTAGACTCGGAGGTCTTGCTCGCTATTTATCGATCCACCCACGAGGATTGAATATGGCACAAGGCCGGTTTAATGTGGGTATCTCCGAGCCCATAGGCCCGGCCAAAAATATAGCCTTTGAACCCGCCTAGACGGATTCAGGCCCTGTCTACCTCCCCGGACGAAACCTTGCTCTTTGGCAAGGGCTTCGTCCGGGTTCCTCTCTGCTAATGCAGAGAGTTTGACAGACGTTGCTACAGTCAAAGACTGTATCACGACTCAGCTAGACTCGGTGGTCTTACCCTCTCGGGTCTTCACGTAGCCGTAGTATATGTATATACTGGGTGAGTCCATTTGTGTAAAAAGGGGTGAACCCCTCAACAATAAACATATTTTTCATTGATTTTATTGATAAGGAATTTGGTTCCCTGTACCGTTCTAAATATTTTTTTCGCCGGAATCTATCTTACATATTTATAAGTCTACCATTCGTCCATGCTTGGAATATTATTTAACTAAAGTTTGACTTTCTAACTTGAAATGTAAAAAATAGTGAATCTTTATATAGTGTTTTTATTTGTTTTGTTTTTTTTTCGCGACTTAGCATGGGCAAAACAAATACACGAATTTGGAGAAAAAAAAAAGACCCCAAAAATCTGTAAAGATTTTTTTTTTAAATTTAATTTAAGCAGAAAAAAAAGCAAATACTGATAAGATCGTGCGGATCACAAAGCACATACCGGGGACTCCAATCAGGTCCCTCTCCCGTTCGCGTAGAGGGTCGGGTTAGTGCGCATCGGTCCTGCTTTTAACGATAGAGTATAGCGGGAGACACCTACTTGCCGGAGCTTTACAATGAACAAATCATTCCTCCAGCATCGTTAACAATAAATCGTTTCTATCAGTTTCACTTTAGATCTGAAGGCACGGATTGAGAAATCGGAGAGCCGAGTTCGAATTCCAGTCGAATCTATTACATTCACTTACGTACTAATACCCTTGGGAAAGGAATGGATCCTCTTCTTTTCCCTCCAGCTATGGGTTAATAACAGGATAAACTAGGTTCTATAAGCCTTGGGTGGCAACCGGTCTAGGAGAAAATAACTCTGAATTCAAAAATTGTATGTAGCCCTGGCATAGCACATACTATACAGCTAAAGAAAGGATCGTTCGCAGTGGCTCGATGATGCCTGGGTGAATGAATGAGATATGACTCTTGTAATCAGGGCTGATGTAAGGGTCACATGTTACCCACAAAATCTATGAAACCCCTCCGAATATATGATGTCTGGATGTATGAGATCTGAGGAGAGCTTGAATCCCATAAAGCGTTCAAAGCAACTAGACAGAAAGAGGAGTCTAAGATTAATAGAGAACAGTTTTGATTTGGAGGTGTTAAAATTAACAAGCCATCCTTTGCCCCAGTTAACAACAGACTGTGGGTATTTTTTGACATCAGCCACCAATTTGACATTATATAACTGATCAGATTACGATCAAGACAGGAGTAAATGATTACGTCATTAGCATAAATACCAAGTTAAGAGCTGATGCCATCAGGAAGGTCGTTAATTAAAATTAAAAACAAATATTTTTAAGGAGTGTAGTATTCGGTATTTGAAATAGCATTCAATTTGTTTATTTGCAAAGGTTAAAACATTGTCATGCGATTCTAATTGGAAATTGTTTAAGATTTGAGAAAAATTGTTAATTTTATTTCTTTTTTATTAACCGAAAATTAAAATTATTTTAATTTAATTAAAAAGAATTGATAGTTTACCGATTAATTAATATTAATTATATTTAAAATACGTTCCAGATTTGATGAAATCTCATTTTTGCAATGAGAAATTGACGAAAAATGCCAGCAGGTATGTCAAAATTAACCACAAAGTATTCACTTTGGAAAAGTTGCAGTCGCTGTGGCGCGTTATGTAATCTAAGGTGATTTTGTTCTTTAAAAAAAAAGACGAAAAATCGGTTGCATTTCAAACACTGCTAATTAAGAAACTCAAAGTTCGATTTCATTTCCATGGCCAACTGGGAAATTTACAAGAACGTTTCACTGCATCAGTTCCTCTTTTCTATTGAATTCGTATGCCGTTGTGGTGTTTAATATTTCCTTCACCTCGCTAGCTACAGTATATGTTCAAATTAAAGGGTAACAGTTGCTGATTGATTGATCTTGCGACGTCGTCCATTGTTGGACTTAATGTCGAATTTTTGGCTGGGACGGCCAGTGAGGATCGAAATCACTACTCAGTAATAATCAACCAAACTGGCTTCGTTAACGTATGATTTATTTATTTATTTATTTACAATGATGTTCACCCTGTACAAGACCCAAGAGCCACTCGGGGTAGACGGTTACAGAGTAAAATGCACAGTTTATGAGGATGTGTTGGAAAAATAACGGTTGACCATAGACTTGAACAGATTAAGGTTATAATAGTAGGGGAAACATCCTCTCTCTCTCTCTCTCTTTCTTTCTTTCTTTCTTTCTTTCTTTCTTTCTTTCCCCTCTCACTTTTTTTCTTTCATTTCACCCTTTCTTTTTTCTTTCTTTCTTTTTGTTCCCTCTCACTTACTATCCTTCTGTATTATATCCCTTCCCTTCTTTCTTTCTTTCTTTCGTTCTTTCTTTCTTTTTTTCTTTCTTTCTTTCTTTCACCTGTCACTTTCTTTCTTTTTATGTATTATCTCCCTTACCTTCTTTCTTTCTTTCTTTTTGTCCCCACTCGCTTACTATCTTTCTGTATTGTATCCATTCCCTTCTTTCTTTCTTTCTTTCTTTCTTTCTTTCTTTCTTTCTTTCTTTCTTTCTTTTTGTCCCCACCCGCTTACTATCTTTCTGTATTGTATCCATTCCCTTCTTTCTTTCTTTCTTTCTTTCTTTCTTTCTTTCTTTCTTTCTTTCTTTCTTTCACCTGTCACTTTCTTTCTTTCTTTCTTTCTTTCACCTGTCACTTTCTTTCTTTTTATGTATTATCTCCCTTACCTTCTTTCTTTCTTTCTTTCTTTTTGTCCCCACTCGCTTACTATCTTTCTGTATTGTATCAATTCCCTTCTTTCTTTCTTTCTTTCTTTCTTTCTTTCTTTCTTTCTTTCTTTTTGTCCCCACCCGCTTACTATCTTTCTGTATTGTATCCATTCCCTTCTTTCTTTCTTTCTTTCTTTCTTTCTTTCTTTCTTTCTTTCTTTCTGTCCCCACTCGCTTACTATCTTTCTGTATTGTATCCATTCCCTTCCTTCTTTCTTTCTTTCTTTCTTTCTTTCTTTCTTTCTTTCTTTCTTTCTTTCTTTCTTTCTGTCCCCACTCGCTTACTATCTTTCTGTATTCTATCCATTCCCTTCCTTCTTTCTTTCTTTCTTTCTTTCTTTCTTTCTTTCTTTCTTTTGCTTTCTTTCTTTCTGTTGCTTTCTTTCTGTCACCTGTCACTTTCTTTCTTTTTTATGTATTATCTCTCTTACCTTCTTTCTTTCTTTCTTTCTTTCTTTCTTTCTTTCTTTCCTTCCTTCTCTTTTTCTTTTTTTTCTGTCATTCTCATTTCCTTCTTGCTTGCTTGCTTGCTTTCTTTTCTCTCTTTCTTTTCTCCCTTTCTTTTTCTTTCTTTCTTTTTGTCCCCTCTCACTTACTATCTTTCTGTATTGTCTCCTTTCTCTTCTATCTTTCTTTCTTTGTGTCACTTTTTTCTTTTTATGTATTGTCTCCCTTTCTTTATTTCTTTCGTTCTTTTCCTCTTTTTTCATTCTTTTATCCCTTTTTTCTTTCTTTCTTTTTCTCCCTCTCACTTACTATCTTTCTGTACTGTTTCCCTTCCTTTCTTTTTTCGTTATTTCCTTTTTCTTTCTTTCACTTTCTTTCTTTCTTTCTTTCTTTCTTTCTTTCTTTCTGTCCCGTCTCATTTTCTTTCTTTCTTTTTGTATTGTCCCCCTTCTTTCTTTCTTTCTTTCTTTCTTCTCTTTTCTTTTTTATTTATTTCTACTCCCCCTCGCTCTTATTTCCACCCTTTTTTTGTTACCATCTCTCTCCATGCTTTGTCTCTCACAGTTTCCGTTCTGCTTTACTGACTCTCTTCCTTTAAAGCCTTTTTTTTTCTTCCGTCCTCTCACTTTCCGATTTGTTCCCAATTGTTTTTAAGCGTCCAACTGAAAATATTGACATTTCAATCGCCGCCGTAAAAGAAAGCTTTCTCGTGCATGCGCAATGGATCACCTTTTCTTCTTCCGGTTGCCCGCGTCTCACTTTTTTTTTTTTTTTTTTCTTTTTTTTTTACGTTCTTAACCAACCCAAAGGACACACTGTCCACATTTAACTCTATGCCCAGCAATTAGGAGCAGATCACTTCATTTATCGTTCTTTCGGCAATCGAGGTGTGCAGTTAGTTTGGCAAATGATGACCTCGGGTCAAACAAGACACAACGGGAGAGAGTCGCAGATCATAGATACTTGCTTGTCACGTGCTAGTGAATTCTCACATTCGCGAATGAAGTGGAAAAACGGACCCTGATTTTACGTCTGCGTCCTGCTTTTTTTACCCATTTTTTTTTTCTACCCTTTATATTTTCTTTCGCAAATAATATGACATCAGCTTTCAGGATATGGGCGATTATGGCTCTTCACAGCTTCTGTCTAACCTTATCTCTTAACATTTCTTTAATGTCACGTCTCTTCAGGACATCGGTAAACATGGCACTCCACGAATTCCTTTTCTTTACTGTCAGTGAACTGCCATCATTTATTACGAAAGACAGTAGCGTAAATAAATATCAGGTCACTTCAAGGAAGTATAGTCATGGCTCTCCACAGCTTCATTTCCTTATTATCTATGAATGGCCGTGACGTCTTCGGAAAGACAGTAAAGTAGTTAAATGTTATGTCCCTTCATGACGTAAGCGGTTACAGCTCTCTACAACTTCCATTTATTTATTATCTGTGCATTGCAATGACTTCTTTGGAAAGACATTATAGTAGTTAAATGGTATGTCCTTTCACGACGTAAGTGGTCACATCTCTCCACAGCTTCCATTAATTCATTATCTGTGGATTTCCATGACTTTTTTGGAAAGACAGTGTAGTAGTTAAATGTTGTCCCTTCACGACGTAGGCGGTTACAGCTCTCCACAACTTCCATTTATTTATTATCTGTGAATTTCCTTGACTTCTTTTGAAAGACAGTATAGTAGTTAAAGGCTATGTTCCTTTATGTCGTAGGCGGTCATAGCTCTCCACTGCTTCCATTTATTTATCATCTGTGAATTGCAATGACTTCTTTGGAAAGACATTATAGTAGTTAAATGTCATGTCCATTCACGACGTATGAAGTAAAGTCTTCTCCGCCAGCTATGGGTTAATTAGTAAGATTTGTATCACTAAAGAATTATTATCTCAAAAAAATTCTTACAATCTAAAAATATTTTCTGACTTTAAATAACTTGCAAAGGGTTGATAAACCGTAAAAAATGAATCAGTCAATCAAACCAATTTCATTTACTTCGTTATCTGTTTACTTCTTCGGACAGACAGTGTTTGTTAGATGTTTTTCTCTCCATGACATAGGCAGCCACGGCTCTCCACAGCTTTCATTTATTTACTATATGTGAATTGCCATGATTTCTTCGGAAAGATAGTGTAGTAATTAAATGCTGTGTCTCTTCACGGCATAGGCAATCAGGGCTCTCCATAGCTTCCATTTATTTATTATCTGCGAATTGCCATGACTTCTTCGGAAAGATAGTGTAGTAGTTAAATATTATATTCCTTCACGACATAGGTGGTCACAGCTCTCCACAATTTCCATTTATTATCTGTGAGTTGCAATGACTTCTTCAGAAAGACGATGTAATAGTTAAATACTATGTTCCTTCACGACGTAGATGGTCACAGCTCTCCACAGCTTCCATTTATTATCTGTGAGTTGCCATGACTTTTTTCGGATAGACGATGCAATGGTTAAATGCTATGTTCCGTCACAACGTAGGTGGTCACAGCTCTTCACAACTTCCATTTATTATCTGTGAGTTGCAATGACTTCTTCGGAAAGACGATGTAATAGTTAAATGCTATGTTCCTTCACGACGTAGATGGTCACAGCTCTCCACAGCTTCCATTTATTATCTGTGAGTTGCCATGACTTTTTTCGGATAGACGATGCAATGGTTAAATGCTATGTTCCGTCACAACGTAGGTGGTCACAGCTCTCCACAGCTTCCATTTATTATCTGTGAGTTGCAATGACTTCTTCGGAAAGACGATGTAATAGTTAAATGCTATGTTCCTTCACGACGTAGATGGTCACAGCTCTCCACAGCTTCCATTTATTATCTGTGAGTTGCCATAATTTTTTCGGATAGACGATGCAATGGTTAAATGCTATGTTCCTTCACGATATAGGCTGTCACAGGTCTCCACAACTTCCGTTTATTATCTGTGACTTACCATGACTTCTTCGGAAGAACCTATCCTGCGCCAGGTATTCGAGAACAAATTTTAATTTTCTAGTAATTTATTATTCTTGTTCTTATGTATATATGTACAGAACAAATACGTCTCTGCAATATAACTGCCGGTGCACTCGGTGCGTCTTCTAAAACAATTACATGTGTTGATCAGGTTTACTTTATTTCTGTCGGCCATACCGTACCTCGGGGATAGTCTTCGGCCAGTTCTTGGTAATGTGAACATGCTTGCTGCTCGCCATTTCAACGATGCCCCACACGTAATAGTCAACCAAGAGAGTTAACAGTTTGAGGTTATATGATCGTGAAACTGTTCTGCCAGCCAATCCTGAGTCTTACCGGCTGTGTGAGAGGAAGCAAAGTCTGCTACACGAACGGCCTCCCACGAGTTACTTACTCGATCCTGGACTTGAAGGCGGTGTCCAGTACCTCTATCTATAAAAGGCGGGATGTGTGTATGTGTGTAACGAATGTACGGCCGCAATTTTCGACGGATTTGCACCAAAATTTATATGCACATGCTCCAAGTTAGCGGAAGGCCAAGACCGACTTTGCATTTCCAACTCCCATTGATAGTAGAAATAATCGATTTTTTCATGCTTCTAGAGCAGTTTCCATGTAGTTTGCGGCCATTTTCTACTGGCCAGAGTGAGAGCTTATAGCTGGCTGTCACGAATAGGTAGGAAGATTCTATTGGCCAGCGTGAGAGCCAACAGCTGACTGACACGAATGTTAACTAGCATGCTAGCATGCAAAAAAAAAATCGATAGCTGCATTCGTCACAAGTAGGAAAAATTTAAATCTGCATGGCACTTTACTCCAATTGGCTCATTCGCTTGCTTAAACTCAACGTTGATTCTGATTCCGCAGAACTGGGTTGGGTGTGAAAAAGTATTTGTTGTTAACATTCTTTTTTCATTCGGTTTTTCCAGTTCCGACATTTTTTAAAGCTGATCATTTTGTGTTCATTTTGTTTAGTTCTTTTTTCGTAACAGATTTAATGTTTAGTATAGAGCTTAGGAAAAATTCGCAGTGGGAGATAGGCAAGAAGTAAGGCATATAGCAACATGAGCACGGCAAAGGGCACTCCTTTAAAGGCAAGGAAGGGCAAAAATATTTTAAGTCAAGTGATAGCGATTGCTGTATGAGTCGTACGATTTTTGAATCAAGCACGGGCAACGCCGGGCCATGCTGCTAGTCTTAATCTAATGGTATTGACTTTAATTTCTATAGTAAAGTTTTATCTGTTATGCATTATAACCTAACCTGTCAGTAATGCTAGCATTAATCCAGGGTCTCAGTGTAAGCGTTGGCATTGCCCTTAATGCCTTGTGGGTAAAAATAGGGAGGCATGATATGACCCTCATTTCTCATGACCTCTCAAGACTATCACAGACGACGGGAGTTTTGTAAAAGGAATTACTAATGCTCCCAAGAAAATGAAATTTCAGCATTAAATGACCCATATAGGAGTTGATATGCCACTAAACAAACATAGATACAGTTGACATTGCATTTAATTTTTGAAGTTCAAGCTTGACTGGAAAGCAAGAAGCTGGAAGATAGTTCCACAAGCGAGAAGTACAAGAGAAGGAACTGTTAGCATAGAACTTGCGGTTACATCTAGCTATTTTTACTATAAAATGATGAAACCTTGCTAGTAAGGAGCTTAAAATTCATGTAGTCTACGGACTCAAGAGAAGAGTTCGCCAGGACAATTAATATGAAAGTATTTACAGATATAATAGAACTATTCTATAAGTAACACTTGCTTTAATTACTGATCAGTAACAATCCCTTTCTTTCTCATTTGCAATGCATTTCTATAGTAAAGGTTTATCTATTATTCATTATAGCCTATCCTGTCAGTAATGCTAGCATTAATCCAGAGTCACTGACAATACATTTTTCGTCATTTGCAATACATTTCTGTTAATAAATGTTTATCTATGCAATATCTGATTGCATTATTCTGTCAGTAAATCTTGCGTTACTTATTGGCCACTGAAAAAGCTTTCTTTGATATATTCAATGGATTTTTATATTAGGTGTTTTACTTTGTCATGTTTATTCTGTCAGTAACAGCTTACATCGATTCCTGACCAATGACAATTCCTTTCTTCTGCATTTTCAATACATTTCTGTAGTAAATGAATACCTATTACACATAGTATTTACAGATATAATAGAACTATTCTATAAGTAACACTTGCAATAATTCCTGACCAGTAACAATCCCTTTCTTTCTCATTTGCAATGCATTTCTATAGTAAAGTTTTATGTTATGCATTATTGCCTATCCTGTCAGTAATGCTAACCTGAATCCAGGTTCTCGATATAAGCGGTGGCATTGATCTTAATGCCTTGTGGGTAAAAATGTGGAGGCATGATATGACCCTCATTTCTTATGACCTCCGGGAATTTGCCGGGCATAACAATAGGAGCTTCAGTGAGCGTGCGTACAAGCAACTGTCATTCCTTCTTTTCATCTGTCATTTTTTTCATCTGTCATTTTTTTCATCTGTCATTCTTTTCATCTGTCATTTTTTTCATCTGTCATTTTTTTCATCTGTCATTCTTTTCATCTGTCATTTTTTTCATCTGTCATTTTTTTCATCTGTCATTTTTTTCATCTGTCATTTTTTTCATCTGTCATTCTTTTCATCTGTCATTCTTTTCATC